GGTCCACCCCTGCAGCCCAGTGTGGCCAAACGACCGAGTTCTGGTCAGTCGGAGGCCCTGTGCCTCCCTCTTCCCCCTTCCTGCCGGCCAGCCCAGCGGGTGTAGGGTGTAGGCGAGGTGAGCGGAGCTGGCACCAAGCTGGGCGGGAGATGAGGGGAGGGGGGTTGGTGACCAGTGAAAGGGGCCGGGTCCCGATGCAGGGAGCACAGGGCACAGTCCCCAGCTGCCTCCAGACAGCGTGAGACACGGACTCACACTGGGCTCTGCCTGGCTCTGTCCCTGCCGCCCTCGCTCCCCGAACCCTCCCGAACCCTCCCGATGAGGGTCTGAGCCGGGCAGGCACTCTTGCCCTCGGCAGCTTTGGGAGCAGTGGCAGCCCCGGCAGGAGGCCCCCTCCTCCCTCCCGAGGGGCTGCTGCTCCAAAACGGCCTGCAGACATGCCTCGCAGCCCCCTCCCCCAGCCCGGCACTGTGCCCCTCGTTGGTACCCTGGCCGCTGGCTCAGCCACATGATGGGCTCCAGGGAAGGACAGTGCAGGCCTCCGCCCCCCACTCCGTCCGCAGCACCCACAGGGGCCTGGGCAGAGGACACCCAGTGAACGGGCCTGCTGGGGGCTCTGTGGCGAGCACCCAGGTGCCCCTTCCCGTGACTGCAGCCCCACGGGCCAGAGCTCGGGTGCACACAGGACAAGCGTTATGGGCTCTGTTCTCTGAAACGGGAGTGTCCACCGTTCCCCTCAACCACTGAAGGGCCTGCTCGCATGTGGTCAGCAGAGCGTTTTAGCAAGAACGACGTTTCAGAGGGAAACTCCGTAACCTGAGCCGAGGTGCGCACAGGGCTCTGTCCCGGTGACCCAGCACCACCGTGGGGACGGGCGGGACTGTGGGAGCCCTCCAAAGGCCGAGCCCCCTCAGCCAGGGTGGTCACAAAAGGAAGTGGCCTTGACAAGGGCCAGGACACGGAGAGTGAAGATGAGGACGGTGCATGAGCCGCTCCGCCCTGCCCGCACCCCAGCCGTGCAGGCAGCCCCGTCAGCAGCCAGCCCCTCCTGCGGGGGGTCAGGGGCAGAGCACAGGG